TTTTATAAATGGTATTGAAAGTAGATATTTTTCTGGCCTTGTGGAGCTCTAATTTGATGTAAGGTTAATAAACTCAAATTTATAAGTATCTCCCATATTTAAAGTGCCCAAATTACTTTACAAGGCCATGAATTTAAAAAATCCATACAAAAAAAACATGAAAAATATCAACAAGAGAGAAACAAAACGGAGACAAAAACACCAAAAATAACAAGTAGAAGGAAAGAAAACACTAATTATAAAAAAAACAGTTCTGCTCTAATGGGATTGAAAGGGTATTTTAGCCTAATTATTTCTTTTTTCGTTCTGGTTACCTTTATGTGATGGAAGCAGACACTAAATAGACAAAGGTAGAGAGAGGAATGATCTGCACCAATGGACTAATGGTCTGTGCCTGGAAGCTGAACCGAGCCCTTCGTCCACATCATGCACCACAACGCAAAACTATTTGTTTTCAAAGGAACTTAAAAACCATTCAGGGTAGTAACTTTAATACAGGAATCAGAGATTTTTCTAGAGTTTGGAAGCAAAAAACTCAACTCACCCTTATTTATACAGCCCTTTAACACAACCACAGTGACATCAAAGTGCCGTAAATACTAAGTAAAGTAAACGGAGACCACCTTCTCCTCAGTTTACAAGGTGAGTCCTTGGAACGTCTAAAAGCAGCATGATGCTGTAGTTTTAGATTCTCGCTTTTTCTTTCCTTTGCAATCAACTTTTTAATCAAATCCTAACAATATCTAGAATTTTAAGGGAGTAATGTGCTTTAATCAACATGTGCAACATTAGCTGCTTTTGTCTTAAAAGAAGGGCCACCTGTTTGGCATCTGTTTAGAGATTGACCTCCACAACAAAGCACATTATAGCTGCGTTCCTGAGTGTCTTTGTGACTCAATCAGCAGCACATTAACAATGATTATTGGGTTTACTGACTTTATTACTCTTAAGGTGGAATTAGCTTCTGGACAGTTTAATATGGCCTTGTTCTTTATCTAGAAGAACAACAGATAAAGTGATCAGTCTCTTGTGACGGCCTCTAAACGACCTGATCAGATTTTACTGTCATTTTATCAGAGCAGAAGCTTGGTGACCTTTTAGATCAAATTCTTTATTTTTAGTTGGACTATTAACTTGTTGGCTCTCCTGTATACATAAAATCACTCTCTGCCTGGAAATATCCATGCTTAGTCAGTTCCCAGCTTTGTCAGCAATGGCCAAAATGTTGCAACATCAGGAGACTTGACTTCCTTCCTGCCAAATTTTTCAAGGGAGATGATTTCAAACAAATACTGACTGAAAGGGTCATTGCCCAACGGTCCAAAGATGCAGTAGCTGCTGGCGTCCTATGCATAAATAACTGCAGCAAACGGTTAGGATAGTAAATATATACATACAGGACAGCGGGCTTTTAAAAATCAACTTGCTCCTCATTAGAGTAGACTGAGTTTGCAAGACTTTTGCCGTTTTTATTTAAGACGAATTAACCACACTGTCAACGTCTTTCGTTCAGTGGTTAAGTCTTAGAGAAAAGTGAAGGGAGATGTTTTTTTCAGGCCCATTATTTGTTTTTCTCACAGGACAGCCTATTGTCATATCTCTGTTTGGCAGCAGCGGCTTATGAGAGCTGTCAGTCGAGCTCAAATACTTCATCTGACTCAAAAATCTGTTCAGCAAAACTCAATTTTCTGCCCCTGTGACAAGTACTATGACAACTGCTATTTTGGGATGTGCTGTTATTGTTGTCTGGGAAGATGGGCATTGTTATTTTGTAGATATGGGTCACTTAATCTCTGTCATATAGAGGAGTATTTTGGATCGGGAGGGTTTTGGGGGAGGTATTACAGCTGTTTAACAGATAGCAGGGATTTCAACATGTTATAAACCAGCCCTGTGGTCAAATAATGTGTGAATTATTTACTTTCCTCATATAAACCGACCCAAACTAAACAATGCATATTTGATTAAAAACAGTATTTCTGTAAACGGCTACAGTCCAGAACCACTCAGCTATATGCCGACACCAACCCGTCTTTTTTGCTTTATTCCAATTCTGCCAGAAATGTGTTTAAAGCTAATTGAAGTGGTCAGTATGTAACCAGTAGTTAGGGTTGTGTAAACAAAAGCCATATATTAAACCCAGCAGCAATGACGCCACATAATTTTTTTAATCCTTATTGGGAAAGATAAATAATAATACTTATTTCCTAACAGTCATGAGCAGTCGTAAAGTGGTTTTATGAGAAGCAGAGGGTATGTTACACTGTGTAAGGAGAGTAGCTATGGCAAAACATGGTTTTACTCAGTTAAAACAAAGACAACATGATTAACTTTGTGTTTTAAACCATATTTATCCTCTATACTGACACAAGAAAAAACTGTAATATCGACTAAAACAATTAGCTGACCAATGTATTGGCCTATCTCTAATGTGAGCCTTCATTTTTGCTTCATTTTTGATATTTGTACAAGTTCATTTCTGATGCCCGGCTGAAGCATCTTTCCTGCTCTAGCTGCGCCGTTAAAGAGTGGGTCTGATGCGCGTAGGTCGGAGCTAACCAATCCTCTCTTTGCCTGTAACAATGGCAGATGAAATCGAGAGTCCCTTCGCTTATTTTAATTAGTGTTGCGCCGATGCCATTTCTTGGCCCCTATACCCGATACCTGGCTGTGCACATCGGCCATGTGTCTGCAGATGTATATGATGAACTGCATACTATTTGGATGTAAAATAATTGCCATCCTGGCATTGTCAAGCTGCTGCCTACCTTTGTGAAAAAGGAAAAAGACTAATTCAAAGTGAATCCAGTAGAACTTTTTATTGCCTACCTGGAATGGGTGGAATTAGTTGAATAAACTTTTGGCTCTCAAAATGGTATCGGTACCCTATTTGTTGGTATTCGCCGATACCGATACCACCATTTTATTCCTGGACCAAGGCCCGGTACTGGTATCGGTATCGGTGCAACACTAATTTTAAGGAATAATGCTACGTTCAGACCGCAGGGGCTTGAAGCAGCAAAAAGCTCCTGCTGCTTAATTTTTAATGCTTTTTCGCATTAAGCTCAGACGTCCAGTAATGCGTGTTCAGATGCGTCTGGTGCTTCTGCTGCTCATTTGTGTTCAATGGCAGAGAGCGGCCTTGCTATATTTGCTGTTATAAGTGGGTAAAACATAGTTTAACTTGTTTTTAAGTGAGAAAGTCTACCTAAAAACATGGTCTGTGCAGTCATTTCATCAAGAGCACAATCCTGCCTTCAAATATAATTTAATTCGGAGCCTGTCCTCGGAAATAGCGTTCAACTGCAGCCTCTGGCCCGGTCACCTCTTTGCGGTTTTCCGCTACTGTTCGCGGCAGCTGGAGGGCATTTTTCATGTATATTATCCAAACTGCAGTCACCAGAATAATAAAATCGAACATATTTTACCAGCAGGTTTTGACATTTTAGGTTAATTTAGGCGCTAATAAACTGTTTCAGAGGAGTGATCATAGCGAACTGCATCAGCAGTGCTGTGTCTGTCTTCCTGCCAGCTCCCAGATTAGGTTCTCTGATTGGTTGATGTGGCGCATCACATGCATCAGAAGCGGCTGAGTTGAGAAGATCGGACGTTTTCAGATCACCAGACAGGGAAAGCTGAGCTCAGTTTTCGGCCGCAAAGCATTTTCCTGGTGTCGTTTTGGTCTTAAAGTAAAAATAATTCAGCCCTGTTAAACTTTTTTATGCTTGTAAAGAACAGCTGGCAATGATGCCTGACAAAATACATCAAAGTAAAAAAAAAACTCAGATTCCAGTGGCTCCTGTGATGTTACAAAAGTTTTTATTTTGATGGACGACAGAAGTTTTGTGCCAATAATAATCTATTTAGATCGACAATTCCTCTAGTTGCAAGCAGTAGGTGTGCACCTCTATAAAACCTTAAATTCACAGAGGGCCTCCGGTTGGCATTGGGGGGCCCAGATCTAACTTTTTTTATTTCCGATATGAATATTGCAGCTTAGAGTATTAACTGATTCCAAGGTGCGCAAATCATACTTTTATGACTGATTTTGTAGCGTTTAATACTGAAACAGGCTGGATTAGTTGATATTACTCAAAAAGAGAACAACAGTCATCAATAGTAGGCATGAGAACAACCGGACCATTTATCATTTTATCAGTCTATGTTGGAGAATTTGGATGCAGGCTGATATATTCCAATATTTTCCTTTAGGAAATAAAGTTTAAAAGGTAAATAAAGCCCTGAAATATCAGGATTAATGGGTTTACTGTGCTTGATGACTGATCCAATTCCATTCGTGAACAAGCCAAACTCCACTAAAACTAGAAATAATAAACATTTTTTGGAACTACATGTTCATTAGGCAGTCAGACGTTGCTATTTTTGTATACAGAATTATCAGGTGTGAAAACAAACTAAAAGACTAATCTGCATAAATCTAAAGCTGAACCAACAGCATAGGATAGTGTTTCCTGCACAGAGTCAGCTTATTACTGCCACCCACTGGACTGAAGGTACAGTGCATTTATTCTTAGGCTGATTTAAATATTTACTCAACTTTCAGAGTAATGAGAACAGCAGGCTGGTGAATTCCTCGGGATTACCCAGATTATAATTGTCTGTTTTCCAAAGGGAATTTCTAATGCTCTGTTTATACTTCATTCTCTGATAGTAGGAATAGAAATGACTATTGTTTTGTTTTCTCATATTATGTTTTTTCCTTCTATTTTATGCAGAATGCAGAGGTGTCTGTGTTTGAGGTGAACATCAGGTTTGTGGGAGGCCTGCTGTCTGCCTACTACCTGTCTGGGAAAGAGGTAAGAAATCTGCTGCCTTGTCATCCTGTCTGTTATTTATAGGCTGAATCTAACAGATGTCTGTGAAGGTGTTATGGACTGTGTTGGTCCTTTTTGGTCTCAGAAGATAAAACTTTTTTTCTTCTAAAGTCTTGTTGCTGATAAACATTTAACCAGAAAGACCTTTTATACCCAGATTAATCCGGATTCTAATTCAGCCAATGAATAGCTCATAGAGCCAATGAGTGAATTTGATGTTGAAGATGAGATCTGCGGAGTAAGGCAGTAAGAGCTTTACCTACAGTGCTGAGCAAGAGGGAATTCTGCTGCAAAAATGTCTCATCTCATTAATTATATGATTTAGTCCCTTGATGAATAGTGAGGCTGCTCCATAGGCCCGTTCTCTCCTTAGATGCTTAAAAAGCTGAAACCTCAGAGAAAGGAGATAAGAAGGCTTCTTTAAATTTCTCTTCTGGTCCGAGCTTTTTTGACTAGGTTTTTCTTTCACATACATGATTAATTTTGTTCATTGTTATTAAAAACAAAGTCTGGAAAACTCTGGATTAAGGATAAAAAAAGAAAGCCAACTGGCAAAATGTTGGTGTTTCCAGACTTCACTCTTTGTCCCATTGCATCCTTAACGTCCGTCCATCAGTCCATCCGTCCTTCCGTCCGTCCATCTTTCCAGCTGTCCGTCAATCCATCCATCAGTCCATTAGTCCGTTCATCCATCCGTTGTCCATCTTTCCTTCTGTCCATCAATCCTTCTATCAGTCCATCCATCCATCCACCCGTCCATCCAACCTAACATCTGTCTGTTCATCCATCCATCCCTCCATCTCTGTCCATACGTCCATCAGTCCATACGTCCTTCCCTCCGTCCATCTGTCCCTCCATCCATCCATCAGTCCATTAGTCCGTTCATCCATCCGTCCACCCGTCCATCCAACCTAACATCTGTCTGTCCATCCACTCATCCATCCACCCACTCGTCCATCTATCCGTCATTCATCCACTCATCCATCCATCCATCCATCCACTCATCCATCCATCCATTCATCCATCCGCTCATCCATCCATCCACCTGTCCGCCTGTCGATCCATCCAAACGTCCGTCCATCCATCCATTCATTTCCATCCATTCATTCGTCCGTCTATCCATTTTCCAACTCATCTGTCGTCCATTCATTCATTCACTCATCGTCCATCCATCCATCCATCCATCCATCCATCCATCCATCCATCCATCCATCCATCCATCCATCCATCATGGCTCACTTTTCCAAAACAAAACAAATAACACCCCATAGGAAGTGCAGCTCTTGTCATCGTTCTCTTTTTAAGCTCCTTGTTTTCTTGACTCACATAAACACGTTAATATAAACTAAACCTTATCCTCATGGTCCATGAAACTGACATCTGAGGCTTAGTGATTCTTCATTAGTAAACAAAACGGTGAAAGTTGGTGTTACCCTGAGGGCAAAAATAGTTTAAGGCTAAAAAAATCTCCATATCCTGTAAGAAGTGATGCGAGGTTTGTAGAATAAACCTGACTTTAATACACCAGGAGAAACATCATTTGTCACCAAAAGAATGATCACTGTAGCCTCATAACCACACAGAGAGAGAAAAAGAAATGTAGCTTTAATACAAAGAAGCGGAACAGATGCCCTCTGCATTACCTGATACCTACCACTCCTGAACCCACTTCTGTATTCCACCATGACCTCTTTGCATTTAATTGAAATAAAGAAAAATTATTAGAGCTTCCTTTCATTCCTTTCAATATCAAAATAAGCAATGGCCAGTAAAAATAGAATATATCAGCATTCAAAGGCCTCAGATGCAGTTTTTAAATAAATAAATGGACAATTTTTTTTTCCAAAGGGCTGTGAGGGGCTTGAAACTAAACTCCCTTATTCCCAGTTTAAATCTGATAAACTGCATTGATTTTTATCTCTTGCTAGTTACAGTAAACATTACAGCAGGAGAATAAAAAAGTGAGCCACCAGTCTGACAGCTGGATCTTCGTATTCATATCTTAAGTCAATCTTTAGAAGAACAGCAAAGCAAAAGTCTTATCATTTTACCTTAAATCAAAATCTCTTTGTTTTTGTGTGTAGAAACATCTTTGATGTATTTTGGATCTGTTGTAAACTCCATTAATGCAGAGGCTGCTAATGCCGGTGATTTTCAGAAGGAGCTTTCATTACTACCTTTGTCCAAAAGACAAAAACGGAGCCAACGGAGCAAGGGGTGTAATGCTATACAAAAAAAACAACAATAAAAAACAGGGATAGGTATATATTTGAATTTTCAGGTCAAGGGCTGCTGTTTAAAGGTCTTAGGTTTGATTCCCTGCCTCCGGTCTTCCTGCGTGCTGTTTTCATGTCCTCTCCATGGATGTGTGGGTTCTCTCTGGATATTTGGGAATACATTAAATTATTCTGTATCATTCTGATTCAATAATTTATTGCTCCTTTTTTGGGCTTAAAAAAGCAGACCTCTGGCTATATAAGCACATTGCCTCAGAGGAGATTATAGAATTTGTTTTTTACTAATAATCAGTTAACAAATTCAGTGGAAACTGTCTTCAGTGGTGCACTGATACACGGTTGTAGCACATTTTTTCAAGACTAAAGCTAATTTTCCTAAAATTTCTGGTAAGAAATGACCAAAAGTGTGAAGAACAAACTTAATTATTCAGTATTTGCCTTTTTCATGTTAGCAGGCCTTTGGTAAAGCCTATGAAATAATACTTTGATTAAAAATAAAGAAATGTATTTATTTGCCAGGAAACTGTGAAGATTTAAAAATTTTATGCACTTGATATAAAAACAGGCAACATTTCGATTTTTTTTGTCAGCAGTTCTTTTTGTTCCTGAATGAGATTCATTCATTTCAGGTTCATTGTGCTTTTCATCAGAGCCCTGAGCAGTTCCCTACCTCCAGCTGCAGGTTAGGGTCCCCTGAAGGATGGTGGAGGTAGATAAACGGCTGATAGGTGGCCTTGGAGGGCTGAGAGGTTTTGATTGAGAAGATGACGGACGGCGTCTGGGTTTGTGGCGCTGAATGAAAGCCGACATGGGGCAGGAGCACTGCTGGGTTCTGCTGCAGGCGGTAAAAGAACATCAGTGTCAGTTGATTTCAGTAAAGGATGGGTTGCAGACATTAAAGGAATAAAATGAGCTTACGCTGCAAAACACTCCATCAAATTTAAAGCCACTACTGGAGATAATTACAGTGACAAGTCAGGGAAGATATGGAGAATAAAACTTATTCATTCATAAAATAAATATGATTGTTTAGATCAACTGATGTGACAGAAAGCAATATTTTACTTTAACCATACTTACTTAATTAAGACATAATTTCTATAGAAAGCAATACATATACATAAAATAACTTCTGCGAAATCATTATTGATATTTAGGTAAACTGTTATGTGAAAAAAAATATTTAATAAAAAATAAGATATTAATAAGTGAGGAAGTTTTCCCATGTTGGATTAATCTTACAGCCAACCATTTCACTGATTTTAGAAACAGGAATGATCAACAGATAAACACATCAGGGTCAAATTACATAATGCCTGCTCTTCTTAATGGAGTTTCTTTGGATTTATTTTGTGAATCTCAAAGCAGCAACATTTAAATAGTATACCGTTTCAGCTAAACATCACCCATTTTATCTGACAGTTGATCAAGTTTCATTAACCTTTTATCCCATGATAAATGGCACTTTGCAGGCCCTCCGGTCCACTTTTGAGGTTATGTTTTTTCTTTGTTTGCTGCAAAGTCCTCCCGGGTTTTAAAGCTTAGTTTACCTGCTTCACAGAAAACCACCAGTAATTTAATGTTGCCTGCAGTGTTAGTTTGTTTCCTACTGTAAAATGAAGTTAAAGAAAGTTCATAAGGTAATTTAAAAACCCAATAAGCTAAGTAGAAAAGCTAAAAAACTAATTAAAAGAGTAAAACATGTGTAAAGAACCTAAACTGGTCTAGGTGTTCAGAAACAACAGCTTCTACATAGTCGTCTTAAGAGAGTTTTTACCTGCCTGTTTGGCAGTAGGCCTTAGCTAACAGTTCAAACACATTAATGATATGCAAAAATGAATGCGATTAGTGGTTCTAGGGCTGCAACTAATGATTATTTTGCAAACTGATTAATCTGTTGATTATATTTTTGATTAATCAATTAATAATCGGATAGCCCAAGATTCTTTCAAGAAGACATTTTATGAATTTAAAACAGATAAAGCTGAAACTTTTGCACTTGAGGAGTTCTGAATAGAGCATATTGACAGACTGAAAAGTGTTTTTTTTGTGTCTAAAATACAAAATGTTTATATATTTTTTAACAATTTTTGTATAATTACTGCTCTAAGTGGGCTGCTCTGCCGGCTAAAGGCACAAAGATTATTTCAATAATCGATTCATCAGGATTTATTGTTTCAGCCGTAAGTGGTTGCCTAACTTTTCTCGGTGGGCCCTCCTTTAATTCATAACAGGTTGCACCACCCTCCAAACCAATCTTCTCAGCAGTTCATCAAAGTAAAGTCAACTGTTGTAAGCCAAAAATCATTAGAATAAACTACAATCTCCTTTAAATCACAAAAATACCACTTTCAAAGTGTCATTATTTTCAGTTTAACTTTGTTTTATATTCCAACAGAATTCAACATTGCTATTAATGTATATTTATATTATCTACCTCTAAAATGTGTTCATTTATCCCATTCATTTCTACCAGTCCTCTTCCTGTAATTACACTGAGCCCCCCCTAAGTGGTGCACCTCTACTTTGGAAACCACTGGGTTAAAGTGACAGTATAACAGTAAAAGTTAATCATTTAAGACGCGTTGTGTCTCTTCCCATTCAAAGTTAATATGAGCCTGTTTGAGGAGCTGTTTAAACCTGAAATGTCCACAGAGAAAACCAACTGACTCCTGAGCGAAGAGAATAACTCTGTGACCTTAGACAATATTCAGCCTCTTGACATTGTTGTGTTCAGAATTTAAA